AGTTGGCTTGTGCCTGGGTTTGGGCAACATCCATCCATGCTGCCACGGATCGGCTTGCCTAGAAGGCAAGATGTAGGAGGTATTACGCAGTATTGATACGATGGATACAAGAGTCAGGCACACCGGAAGTATCCTGTATGTATTGCCGAAAGAGAGGTGCCATGCTACCGGCGTTTTCAAGCATAGGGACTACACGATGCGCAATACCAAGCTCCTGAAATGCATACATACCAATGTATACAACATGGTACTGAACACTCCTAGTGCCAGTGATGCCTAGTTTGCCGCCGCCACGTGCGATCCTGGTATTATCCTGACAAGGTGAGCCTGCGCCGAAGAAGATGAGAGCATCTTCAGGAAGCAGGGCGAGGAACTCACGCAAGGCTGCGAAGTGTTGATGGGCAACCTCCCAAACGTCAGCGAGATATCGCACAGGAATCTTATTCCTAGCCTTAACCCAGACTTTGGGATCTTGATGGTAACCATGAACAGCAGAAAGGACAGCGCGGATGTCAGGATCAAGCTCGGCGATCAATAATGCCGCTGGAGCCAATTTCGCCTGCGAGAGTCTTCCACTGCCGTCGAAAAAGCTTATGATACCATGGGAACGCTCACAATTTGCCTAAGCCGAGTGCGTCGTCGCCCCTGTAAGCATTGGGTGCCAATGGTGTCAGGGTTGCAAAAGACCGCACCGACAATAAAAGGCAAGAGGTGTTCGACCTCACTGCTGCTGATGCACGTGATACCACGATTGGGATGATACACTACCCCAAGGGTGCCCTCAATGGCTTCAAGGAGAAGCGGATTATCATCGTGCGCGACAATGAGCCCAGTAAGGCGAAGCCGAACGCGAGCCCCTTGAGCTTGAAGATCAAGCGATTTACCAAGAGCTGCAACGAGTGCTTTGGCGATCGCTGGATCAGGGGATACAGCGACAATGTTGAGCGGATGCGTGAGCCGTTCACACGAAGGATCAGGCAGGCAGAGCCAGGTAGTGTCAACGAGTGGATGAACAGGGGCTCTCTTTGGGTATATGCGTTGTTTACCAATCCCAAGACCGGTGAGTTGCCGCGCATACCCTAACGGAAGGAGGGAGATTAAGGTGGCAAGCATGTCGAACACACTTTGGTCAGCAAGGTGAGGAATACTATGAGTGGCTTCAGTTACAACCTTTGGAGTGAGTGATGCATCACAGTGGCCAACAGCAACCTCAGCAGCGACAGCCTTGAGAAGGACTGACAAGCGTTTGTCAAGGACAAATCGGCGTGCCCGGCCTCTTGCCTTCGCAGTTGAAAAGGCTCCAGAACAGCCAAGCCATTCATGAAAGAGGCAGAGCCTTGTTCATTGCAGTGGTGTTCAAAGGAGGTATCGGAATTTGGGAACAACCGCCTTCTGCGATGTCTTGGTTGGAGGAGGCTAACTTCCACATGCTCCGCGAGCATCAGTGTAGCCGTCGACGCCTGCCAGCGCGGAAAAACAATTGCTAAATCATGGGCCTTTGGCTGTAATAGCCCTCGCATCAAAGCCCTGGCAGCACGTTGCGCTCACACAAATATTGCTGGAGTGGTCAAAAATTGGGTCTTTCTCAGCACCCTGGCCGCTGAGTACCCCGAGTCGCTGGCACTCCAGCTGGCGGCTGTGGGCGCGGGAAGTGTCAAAACAGGGGTGGTGAGGCGTGCGCTGCAACTGCACAGCCCCATTCCAACGCAGCCCAGCCTTGCGCCGTGCAGACTCCCAGTCTGCGACGGTGCAGGCATGCGTTCGACTGCAGACTGGTGTTGCCCAAACCCCAGCCACCCTCTTCAGGCCGTCGCGGTGCCTTGGCTTCGCTGGCTCCATCAGCGCAACATGGTGTCACGGATAATAGCACATGTCAGCCAAGGCAAATCCGATTCGCCTTTAACGGAGGATGCCGAGGCCGTCCAAATTGCCTATGAGGCCTTCCAGGTCCCGTTGCCTTCTGATTTGAGCCCCGCGAGCGGACAGCCCTGCCGACTGCACTTGCTTCGCCACCTAACACAGTCGCGGGGAGACCCAGACCTAGCCTTGCTGCCTTTGCTTGCAAGAGGGCGTGCCCGCAGGTTCAGAAGCCCACCGTAAGTGGCCATCAGGTGTTGCCGTAGGAAAATAAAACGTTGTCTTTGCCGAAAATAAAGAGCCTCGCCTTGTACTTGATAGCACAGTTTGTCAGGTGAACACCAGATGTTACCTGCCAGAACGCCTTAGTCTTCCAATGGCGTCCGATCTCGCCCTGGCCACCCAAGCAATGGACACACCAGGAGTCATCGGGGCCAGCGTCGAGTTCAAGGCTGCCCACAAACAGGTCCAAGTACGCCCGGACGAGTACGGCCTTTTGCTTTTCGCCTTCAAAACCAAACTCTTTCGTTCTAAAGTTTGCCATTTTGGGGGGTTTCTCTGCCTATTGGTGGCAACGCACAGGCTCCTTCCTGCTGCGCCAGGTCCACGGACTACTGGCATGGCAGCACACAAAGCGTTCCTGCTTGTGGAATGCGCCTTGTTTCGGGCTCAAGCGCCAGAAATGTTCGCCCTTGTGGCCCTTTTTTGCCATAGCCGCGCCAATCTCTTGGAAGAAAGCGCAATTCCAGGATAGCCTTGTCTGGTGTGGTTGGGAGATGAACTACGCCCATGACACCACCCAGCTCATGAAGACCAAACTGGTCAAGCTGGAGGATCTCATCACGACCCTCCTCGGCAAACGCAAGGTCCCTCGCAAAACGCTAGAGCAATGCATTGGCCTGCTCATCTGGGCCACAAGCATTGCTCTACACTTGCGATCTTAGACCTCAATGCAACAGCTCTCATCAGTCTGTTTTCCTGACGTAGCTCCGCAATTGCAGCCGATGTTCCGGCCACGGGAGTGCGCGTCAGGGCACGGCGCTGCCGGTGTGAGGGCAAGAGCGCTTGGCGGCAGGCGGCTTCACTGGCAAGCTTTGAAACGCGTCCGGGCGCTCTGAGCACATGCGTCAGTGCCCGATGGTGCAGTCAGATGTTCTGGGCGCCATGGCGCTGCTGCGGGGCACAGCGCGATGCCTCTTCCTGCCTGCGCAAGCCGTTGAAGCGCACGCGGTCCGCTGGGCGATTTTTGCTCAAGTCATCCGCCCACTCATTGTAGCGCCCTGGCAGATAACTCGGCTGCAGAAGAACATTGCGCCCAGGAGGCGACAAGCTGCACAAAAATTTGCAAAGGCCAAGATGTTGTGAACATTTTGTTAACGCCTGCTTCTGCCGCCATGCTAAACGAGTCGCGTCCGCCCCCAATGTGGCTGTGCGCCAGTTGCGCTAGCATCTGCGGCTGCCAGTGCTTGCAACTGGGGCTGCTTTGCCAGGGCTGTATGGGGGAGTGCTTAAGGCACGACCCAAGCAATTCCAGGCAGCTTGACTGGCCTTGCAGAGGGCGGTGAATGGGTTGTTTGCGTTGGCTATGCGAACCCATGTTGGCTTGCTAGTGCCTGGAATGCGCGGACAAGCACTGCCCCTGCGTTGCTTGCCCTGTGCTTCGCATCGCCGCAGGTGCAACCCCGCACTGAAGAGGGGGACTTTGCGCCTTGGCCTCAATCGCCTGGTTCCGGGGTTGCCTTGGAAAGCACTGAAGGAGGGGAACATCTCGCCCCTTGTCCTAGGTGCACCGCAGTGCCCTAGGAAAGTGCCACCTTCCCAAGCAACCCGGAAAAAAGGTGTGCGCCTTGCAGTCGGCTTTTTGGGTTCTGGGTTCTTTGTGATTTGAGGCTAGGAGCAGTGCGCTTGACCTTTAACAAAGAAGGGTTTCTCATCCAAGCTACGCTGTGTACAACGCACTCATAAGGTGAACCTCGCTTTTGCAGAGCAGCTTGAAAGCGAACGCATCTCAATAGAATATGTCCAAACAGACATGCAGTCAGCAGACATTTTCACTAAGCACTTCCTCCCAACAAGTGGGACCATGCCATCAGGTTGCTCGGCATTCGTGTTGACCTTCCAGAGCCGCTAAAGCAGCTGCCTAGTGCGCTGCAGCATGTCCGCAAATTCCAAAAGTATGCAAAGTGACTGGGCGATGCTTGAATAGCTTGCGTCAGTCGTTCTGGTGTAAACTTGACTTCAAGTTGGCGTGGTAATGCGCCCAAGACACTCCCTCAGTGCCGTCAATGAGGGGGGAGTCAATTATCACGATGACATTTATGGCCCAGAGGGTCATGAGTCAGATGTACTTGCAACATGATGTACAAACAATTCAAGGTTGAAGCATGACATGATCACATGTCGCTTTGGCTCAAGAAAAAGCGCGTTGCACGCGCTGCCACAAGTTAAGGGAGAGGTCGCAGTCACGGCGGGGTTCGTTCCTTTTAAGGTCCCGGGTTCCCCCGTTGTTGAGAAAACTGTGTTTCCCTGTAGTGGTTGCTTTGTTGCTGCGTCTGCCTCTTTGCTCAATTTTTTTGGTCGCTTGCTTGATTTGCACTGTGCTGCGCTTCTGCTTGGTCAGTCTTCCGTTTGACAAGTGGCAGCCCTTTTGGTTTGCTTGTTTGTGCCAGCTTGTGGCACCTTTCCTTTTCTGTTGGTGGGTTTAAGTTTGATTCTCGCTTCCCAAAGTTTCAACTTGCATAAAAAAGGCGGCTTGTGTGCTTTCGCAAGTTGTTTGCGTGGTGGCTGCTCCTTTGCAGCTCCTCCCTTTGCTTCCGGTCTCGTGTCATTGGCTGCTTGCACACTCCTTTGTTTTTGCGTTGTTGTATTTTCGGGCGGCAACATTCGTTATCAGGTTGCGCCGGCCGGCACAGATGCAATTGGTTGTGAAGGAAACCAAGTTGTGTGCTTCTCAGTGGCTTGGCTTGTGGCTCAAGACAGGGAGCAGGGTTGGACCAAACACAAAGCGAAGGCACATGGCCATTTTGTGCCGCAACGGAGGGGCTACTTCGACACGCTGCAGCCTTTGCCCTCATGCTCGGAAATCATGGAATTCCGTTGATTGGGTGCACACTGTTGTTGTGAAACCGGGTTTTAGCTGTGGCGCGCCTTTTGATAGCCGAGTATGGAAAACTCTCCCGCCCGCGCCATGCGGCCTGAAGCGAAGCAAAAGATCCAGACACTTTTTGAGAAGCGCCTTGACAGTCTTTAGAATAACGCTTCGTAGCAGTTTCTTAGAATGACAGCAGCAGGATCCTAACGACTGCGAGTCTTGGTTGAAGCGTTTTCAATAGGGACGAAGAGAAACTGATCTGCAGCTCAGCCTTAAATGCGGGAGGCGCCACAGAGGTTTTTATTGGTGGTTGTGTTCAAAAGACATATTCCATGCTTACAGAGTGGTGTGTGTTGGCGTTTTGGATCAATTCGAGTCATCGCTGGTGGCCATCTCGGTGCCTGGATTTGACCACGCTTCAAGGTTCGACACTTCGGGCGATGGGGTCCTGAGCGAGGAGGAGATGGGACAGCTGTTCCGGGCTTTGCACTTCAAGAAGGGGTTCGAGCTCATGAAGCAGGCAGACGCCAACAAGGACTAGGGACGAACAACCGGGAGATTCTCAGCCCAGGCCCCGAGCGTATCTAATGAGGGCCTAGACAACCCCTTCAATTCGTGTATTGAATCAGAGCTGATCCCAAGGCTGAAATGAGCAGAAATGTCAAAAGTTCGGACGCGGCAGGACGGGGTCATCCAGGTGCATGAGTTCATCTCCTGGCTGTTTGAACAAAAGCCGCGGTGGAAGCTCGAAACCATCGTTGAAGGGGATGAGAAGAGAATGCAAGCGACTTTTTTCAACGACTTCAAAGAGACCAAGTTCTTTGCCATCTTTGCCTCTGGCAGCGTGTCTCAAACTACTTGTAAACTTTTTGAGCATGCTGTCATGAGTTTCAGGCCATCGGAATGATCTGGAACTCCTTGATAGCAGACCTGTCTATATCGCACAGAAACCAAAAGGTTGGGGAGCAGCAGCATGGATTCACCGGAAGCCGGATCTCAGGCACCAATGTGGAGCCCTGGGACACTCTTCCAGCAACCTGCGTGGTGCCTGCAGGAGAGTCGAGGACTGGAATGGGCCAATTACGAGCTAGCCATATTCTATGGTTGCATCCGTGATCTTTGTCTGACAGCGAGAAGTTTGGTTGCAAACATGCTCGGACATGGTCCAACACCATCTCAGCATATTGCAGGTTGTTCGCGCGGTCTTATCTTTCGCGAGGACTATCAACTTCCTCAGGGGGAAGCTGAACAGCAAATATTGCTACCGAGTGCGCTTTCGGAGCCACTGCCCCGACGCACAGGAGGGGCTTGCTTTCGATGAAGCAGCTCTACTCGAGGTCTTTCGATGAAGCAGTTCGCCCGTCTTTCCTGCTTGAGCCCCTTCACGAGGTCTGTCAAATCATAGCGGGACCTGGATCAGCACACCATATCAATGCAACGCTTTTCAGTCTTTCTCTACTCATCCATCATGTGAAAGGGCCTGTATATTTGTGGAACATGGGGCTCGAGCGGCCACTTTTCGTGATAGCCAGAATCTCTGTTTGACATTGCCGGAGTGATCATAGGGTCAGGAAAAGCTCCCACTTTATCGCAGACGGGTCGTTGCTAGGATGAGATGAGCTTCGTGGACAGCGAGTTCCCCCCCGAGGACAAGAGCGTGGACCCCACCGGGGAGTTCAAGGCGCACGGATGCGGCTGGATGACTGTGTGTCCTTGATGGGAAGCAGGGGTTTGAGACAGCGAACGAAGCTTTTGGCACCTTGCGCAGACCCAGCCAGAACAGAGGTGACAAATCAAAACGAGATCTGCTTTGCCCCGTTGCTTTTTACCATTGCTTGAGGCCAAGCAGAATACAGAATACAGATCTCCACAAAAGCAAGGCACCGAGCAATTTCATGTCCCTGCCATGTTTATTTGACATCCTACCCTTAAGTGGTTCCAACATCCTTCAACCCCCCGTTCCGATTGGTTTGTGGTTTCAGCTTACTCGAGCCGAAGTCGGGCTCGCCAGATCCGGAAGCCCGAGCTCTGGGTGCGGGCTCGCTACGCTTGCAGCAGTGAGGCGTGTCTCTTCGATCAGATCTGCCCACAGGATGCGACTCGGAAGGTGCACTCGGCACTTCGTTCGAATCACTTTGAGCTTGTAACAGTAAGATTGGTTTGGATTTGTAAATCCCTGGTAGCTTCGGTTTGGGGGTAGTGGAAACCAGTTGTTGTGTTTGAACGAAGGACTTGGTCTCTTGTAGACATTCTAAAGCTCGAGGTGCTTGCATGCCGCCCTTGCCCGTGGCTGCTTTTCTGTTCTGATTGAGCGATGTGATGCAGGTCTGTGCATCTTTTATGAGGCATCACAAAACTTGCGCAACCACACCCACAGAGTTCTGACAATGTTAGCGCATTGCATGCATGAAGATGTGACTCCGTATGTTGATATAATCTTGGGACATCTCGCAGACAATATTGATACCAGCAAAGAATTCCTTGCTCGGCTGGCTTGCCATGAACATTTGTCCGATTGTTGCTTCAGAGCATATGAGCTGTTGGATTCTACTGTCCAGGTTCTGATCTGTGTTCGCTCCTTGCGCATCAGAAGTTCCTGGAGGGAATGGAGTGCTGAATTCAAGAGCTCGAATCGAGCTTCAACGTATCTGGGAAAACCTTTCGGTGTTTCAAAAAAGCCATCAAAGTCGCAGCATGGCTCATTTCTAGCCATTTGCATGAGCATCTTCTGGTAGGCTTGCGTGCTGTTCAACTGTTCGTGCAACAGAGGTCAAGCAGGGAAAGCTCGGAGACTGCTGGCTCATGGGATCCCTGGGCGCTCTGGCGCAATATCCTCAGCGGATTAAGAGCCTCTTCGACACCAACCAACTGACGGAAGATGGGAAGTATGGCGTGACCTGGATTGATTGGATTGACATGTGGGTCAAAAATGGGCATCCATTTTGGAACCCTAGTAAATAGAACCAAGGACAAAAACCAGCGGTCCCCATGGCGCATTAATTTGGACCCATAACCACATCTCGGAAACAGAAGCTCCGGGGCTCAGGAAGTGCTGAAGGTTTCGCGCTTGCTGCGTGATGCATGCCGGACTTTGGAGTTTGGGCTGCGCTTTCTGTGCTAGGTGTGGCTCTTTGACTTGGCCACGGACAAGTGGACGAAGTATCTGATCGACGAGCTCTTGCCATGCTACAAAGACAGGGACGGGTTTCCCATCGTCACCTTTGCGCGGCCGCTGGCCAATGAAGCAGCTCAGCTGCGGGGATGCGTGCCGTTAGCATGCCTCCATCAAGCGGACTTTCCCATAGACTCAAGAGTTACTCCCTTGTTTCCCTCGTACTGACCAAGCAAGAGCTTCCAGTCGAAATGCCTGTTTTCCTTTGAGGCATCAATCATCCTTTTGGGGCAAGCTCAATCAATTGATACCTGGGGGGGGAAGCTGAACCTTCCCTATTGTCCGACTTGGTTGCGAAGAAAGATTAAGATCCATCCTTTTCAAACTTCAAGTCAGAGGTTGACCTTCTAAAAATGCATGGTGAGGCCACCAACCCGTGCATATTGAGGAGGACTGAGCCCAGAAAAAAATGCGAACTCTGAAGCTGCGGTCTTGCTAGATAGAGCACAATTCATTGTTGTTGCCATGTCCCCAGCCCAAGAAAGACCGAGCGCTGCGAGTGGTGCGCATTGGCAGCTTAGAATTGGCCCAACTTCACATTTACATGAAGAGACGCGGTTCGCATCCCAGAAAGTCCAGAAGGGATGGAATGTGTATGTGTGTGTGTGCGTGCGTGTGTGCGTGTGTGCGTGGGTGCGACGGAGTGTGTGTTTCTTTTGAGGGTACCCATTCTAGGTAAGTTTACAATGAACACAACAAGGGACACCGCCATCTTTTAGTGGCAAAATGCAATCATCCACTGAGGCGGCAATGGCTCGCGGGCGAAATACTGGCTCCTCAAAGTGAACATTTGGAAGGGCTCTCACAAAACTGTTGGGTCGCAGTGGTTTAGCCCTAAAACCACTAGGGCAATGATTGAAGATGCCACTCTCGCATCGACCCAGTTTTATATTCCGGGTGCTTTGCTATTGAAAGGGAGCTCTTTGGTTTTTCAGCTTGGGAACCAGCATCCATTTGGCTTCTACACATCGCCTCGAGGTCTGGGTCTCGCTGCTGGAGAAGGCTGTGGCCAAGTACTGCGGGGGCTACCGCCACCTGGTGGGGGGCCAGCCCGCCTTTGCCTTCCGCCTCTTCACCGGGGAGCAGGGCATCTCCTACGTGATGCGGGACGGGCGGGTGGACGCATCGGTACGCCTGGCCACGAGTCTCTCTTTTTTTCCGGGGTTCTCAAAGCGGCGGAGGTGAATCGCCTGAAATGCACCAAGGGGTCGGTCTCTTACTGAGACTCACGCCCGTGAAATCGCGCCACCTCATATTTGGGGGTTTTTGGAGGTCGTTCTGCCTCCCAGGATGACGGCACCTTCCGGCGGCGCCGCATGAACCCCAAGGAGAACCCCTACCGCCCCAGGCCGAAGTGGATTTGGCGGAAAGGAAAGTTCTTGATCCTTGGCTTGCACCGGGGACGCATCACATTGTTTTGAGAGGAATGAAGTCCGTCAGCCTGTGCATGTTGTGGGAATCAATGTTCTGTGCGGCATGCTGCCGGTCAACTAGAGTACCCAAGTGTTTTCTTTTCTGCGGCCGCCATGCACCTTGGGTCCAAGTCGTCCGCGGTGAAGCGCATGGAGGTCTCACTCATTGGCCGCAGTGTCAGAACCAAACCATCCAGTCTGCTGGTGCATTGGCATGAGAACTTGGTTGGTTCTTTTGATTTCCTTTCGAAACCATGCTGAGCTTTAGGCTTTCCCCGTGCCCTTGCCATTTTTGGCCCAGCACCGGCAGCGAGGTCACCGGAGGAGTTTTTTGAGTCGCTCTGCGAGCATGCGAGCAACAAGCATGTGCTCACCTGCAGCGCGGCAGCCGCTCGGCGCAGACGTTTAGGGAGCGGTAGCCTTTCGGGGGAGATGGCTTGGGGTTGCGCCGTGGCGCTTCTGAGGGGTAAACCTTGTTGAATTCAGAAAAGGCTGCAGCATGTCAAAGAAAACGCACGATGACATGGGCAGGCCATTTGATCCATGGGACAAGGTGCCGCGTCAACGAGTCCTGACACATTTTGGGTAAGGTTTACTCTTTTTGTTTTCCCGCATAAGAAGGCAGTCAAACGTTTCCGTGAGCGAAGCAGGCCTGCTTGCCAGGTTCGGCTTGCATCTTTGTATTGATGCCCAACGCAATCAATGTGTTGAGTCGTCCCCTTGCGTTCATCGCTCTGCTTTTCTGCTTTACGTGTATCTTGGAGCACAGATCATGCACATTCTCAGCATTTCAGGTGAAGAAGGGCCGAAACAAGTCGGAGTGGAAGGAGAAGGGGCTGGTGACCTACCACATCTACTCCATCCTGCGGGTGCTGAAGGAGAAACTGGACGATGGGACCCCCATCAGGCAGCTCCACTTGCAATTTTCCCCAACTTGTGGGATGCCTTTGATTTCATGTCGCCACGTGCGCAAACAAGAACAAGTGATGCGATTCAGAGACTTTGTTCGCAGAGTCTTTGCTTTCCTGGGACTGCATCATTTCTCAGAAGCATGGAAGTCCAAGCAGAGCTGTTCTGATCTCCCAAGTTGTCGCAGGGAACAGGATGGCAGTTTTGCTCAACTGACGCCAAGGGAGATGCATTTCTTTTGCCGCAGGCTCGTCGAGGCGCGAAATCCATGGGCCTGGGGCGAGTGGAAGGGCGACTGGTGCGACAGCGGCAGCAAGAAGGGCGAGTCGGGGAAGTGGGCGGAGAACCCACAGCTGCGGGAGCGCGTGCTCGGCAAAGGAGGCGCGGCCAGCCATGGGATACACTAATGGTGGGCGGCTATTCTAGGCCCAGTGGTGGGTGGCTTGTCGGGCGGACTTTGATAAGTCCCCTCATTTAGGGAGCTCTAGCTCGAGAAGCTGGCGTCACACCTGCAGGTGTGAGCTTGAGTTTACCCACCTGGCCCGGAAGTGTTTTCGAGCCTCCCGCTTTGCCAAAGGATGACATGGTCAGATGGTCAGAGGGTTGGGAAAAACGAGCGTGGGGTCCCAGAACTGGGATCTGATGTTGACGGGCCGCTTGGCAAAGCCATGGCTCAGGCGTAGCCTGAAGGCTTTTCTCGAAAGGCAAGCGCTTGCAGCTGTTCGACTTTTTTTTCTTCTTTTTCCAGTGTTAGTATGACGGGCAGTGCCAGCAATCCCACATACATGCCAGCACACTTGCAGCACATCCTCAGTCTTTGTGGTGGATGGTTTGCCTTCCTATTGCGTGGCATCAAGGTTCGCCAAGGGGGCTCGGGGCTGCCGTGTTGCCAGGAGCAGATGGCGCCTTCTTCATGTGTTTCGAGGATTGGGTGCACTACTTCACGAACGTCAGCGTTTGCCCGGTGGGCACAGCGCCCATTGAGGAGGATGGCGAGATGGAGGAGGGCTCAGATGAGGAGGATGAGTATGAGGATGTGGATGATGGGCCTTGAAGTTCTGGCTTGAAACAAACGAGCTGCTCCGAGAAAAGAAGGCGAACTTGGTGCTTCTTGGTCATTCCGATCCACCTGCACAATGTTCAAGCGTCAGCCAGCCATCCACTGGTGGTTTGCGAGTTCGGGTGGATCATGCTCCATCGGACACAAATAAAACTGGCAGACTTGGTGAACCCCCAAGCACCAAATTGCTAAGACAAGCTGAACATAGACGCAAACCGGCCATGAAGCCCATGGCTCACCGGTCTATTCTTCAGTGAGTTGTTGGTCGAGTTTCATGAAGCCAAGGTGCAGCCGATCCTAAGGATCAGCTGGCCAGGCATGCGCCTGTAGACTGCGCAAAACACCAGCGTATTGGGCGATTGGCGCGGGCTGCAGATCTCCAACTGGTGAGATGTTTGCCGACATTGCAAGAATATACGCTTTCTTGAGCATCCAGACTTCGTAACAAGCCAAACTGATTTGACGCGGCCATCGGCCTTGTTGGGGATAAGGGCTGCAGGGAGCATGTTTGATGGGACGCTTCCCTGGAAATCGACCATACACCAAGGTGCTTGGTGTCCTTGGGTTCAACCAAAACTGGGTGGGTCGGATCGATGGGTCCACACTTCGCGGCCTTTTTGCAAGCTTGCCACCGCACGGCCCTGGCGATGCCCTCGGGAGTGGCAGGCGGCGCTGGTTGGGGAGATGGGGCATGTTTGAGGATCGGCCATCCTCCAATTGACCATTGACCTTTTGCCACTTTGTCAGCGACTGAGCTGACAGGGTCAATGATAGATGACGGTGATTGTTGCACTAGAACTGCAGCCCAGAGACGTCGGGATTGCGTTAATTGAACGCCCGGATGGAGCAAATCTGGGTTTTCCCGAGGACCACACGAAGGACCGTTCTGTTGGACTTGCGCACGACCTTTGCACATCAAGCAGTTGCTTGTCTGGGGTGCGGTGAGCTGCTCCCTACTTCAAGATTTCTGCTTGGATGTGGGATGGGCATGAGTCTGATTCAAGTTTCAGGGCGCTACAAGTAGCTGCAGGGAGCTAATTTAAGTCAAGAAACCAGAAGCAAACATCACAACGAGGTACCGCACCTTTGCCCTCAAAAGGGCAGTTGCCAAGCCTTGTCGAATTCGCTGGAAAGGAACGTTCCCCATGTCTTTGTTCTTCCATGCTTTTCGAGATCCGGGCACTGGGTCACGTGTCCATAGCATGGTGTCTCACATTCATCCTCCCTCTTCCCAAGCAGTTGCCAGCATCTTGAAAGCCCCGCGAATTGTGCGTTTTGGTTCTGGCTTCCGCACGTGTGCCATCTCCAAGAAGTCACTTCCGGTTTTCACGCCAGGCTTCACCCCTATGACCTGGGGCGTGCATGGCCGGATCTAGGCAGGGGATGTGGTTCAGGTTTGTTTGGGTCGGAAGGGATGGTTGTGATTTAAGACTCTTCGTGCTCTTAGTTCGGCTTTGTTTGGATCAAGGAGTTCCTGCATTTGGCAGGCGCAAATACTAGGTTCATTAATTCGTTGGACGTTCTTGAGGTGAGCAGTACCTGTGGATTGAGCTGTCCCGGGCTAGTGGCTGCGCCCTGATGACCACAGTTCCGTGTCCGACTTGTCTGATTCGGATGGTCATCAGCTCTTTGATTTCAACCACCCTCGCTTGCCACAGCGCCTCAAGACGCGCCAACAACGCACGAAAGCTCATCTTCGCCCCCATTGTCAGTTCTCGCTCTCGTTCTTTTTTGAGCTCTTCTTTGATTCTGACGCTTTCTCTAATCGATATCCAGTCGTCATCTAGTCGTTATTCTAGTCGTTATTCTAGTCGTTATTCTAGTCGTTATTCCACGACAATTTTGGACAACCAGGTTTCAGGGCCATGAATGTTGAGGAGCAGTTTACTGCCTTTTCGAACCAGGGCAGTGCTTCTGAACAGAATCCGCGCGGCGACTGGGGACTTGCGGGGATGCCTTACCATTTCTCGCCGCTCAGGTGCACGCCGCCTCACAAGCGTCCGGCTGCTGAGGTTGCTGGTCGCCTAGGGGAGTCGGAGTCGGAGGAACTTGGGCTTCCAAACCTCGGGGTCCTGGGGTGTCCTTTCAAGCAGAAAGGACGGATGGTTTTGAAACCTTCCCTACGCTTGGGCGTTTTTTTGGGAGCCTGGACGATAGCTTCGCCTTGACGCTACGCTCTCGCTCGGATTCCTTTCAGACATTGCTCATTGCTCAGGCGCTCTGTGCTCTTCTGCGCTCTGTGTTCTTCTCTCAGGTTGCCATCTTACGGTGGCCTTTCCAATTCGAAGCAAAAGCAAGTTCATGAAGATGTACCTTTCCATGATATATGTGTACACAGTTTTTCCAGCTGGGCTGCTCCACTCAAAACTTCTGCAACGTGCTCAACAACCAGTTTGAACTTCAACATACACCGTACACCAAGAAGAGCTGGTAAAAAGTAGACTCCGGTGCGGAGTTTGCTTGCTCCTTGTAGATGGATCCTGCATGGTTTTCTGAGTGTGTGAGAGAAGTTAGCTCGAAGCGAGCTTGGGTGAACTGGGTCTGATTCACGACCACTTTCGTGTGATCCGAATGCCTCCCACTTTCAGGCCAAGCCCAAGCGGGCACGAGCCAGCCCGGATCCCCGGAGCAGGATCTTGGGGCGGCGAAAGAGTTTGCTCCATTCACCATGAGCTTCTGTTTTTTTTGAAGCGCCCAGGGCGATTCTGTGTAACAGTGACCTTTCCGAGCACCAAAGTCCCCTTTCAGTGTCCATTTGTCTCTGGCAGGGGACGGTTGGGCAGGTTCCTTGCGTGTGTTGGGAACAAACGCGAGATGTTTGGTTTGGAGGGTCCGCTGGTTGAACGGTTAGACCTGTCGGGTTTGGACAAGGGCTGAGGGCAGGGCATAGGCTCAGAATATTCACTTGGGTCTTGTGGAACTCCCTTCAATCCAAAGGCCCTGAGCCGATTTGCACCTTTCACCCCCCCCACTTGAAGACCCCAAAAATTGGTGGGACCCCAAAACGGCCCCAAAACTGGGTTCCCTCAAAACAGTACCGTACCCATTTCAAGAAATCTGTCTGCAAAGAGCTTGCCACCGACCAGGCCAGGAAAAGGTCGAACCTGGCTGGAGAGCAGTTCCCTGGAGATGGGCGGGCAAGTCATGGCACTACGTCCGGGGAATCCTTTTGCATTGGCGGTTTTGTTTGATTCGTCATGAAGGCCACACGGGTTGGGTACAGCCTCGGGCACGCGCGTTTTGGCTCGCAGCGCCTCCGGCCTTGTCTTTGACGCGCCCTGCATTACCTTCCGCTGCTTGGCAGTGTCACGGAGGGTTACGTTCCTATCAAGTTTGTGCAAGGACCAGGTTTCCTTTCGAAGCAGTCCAATCCAACATGTGGGGGCCGGCATGTTGCTTGCACGCTCGCATTGCTCCAAGAATACAAGCTGGCTGGGATGACAAGCCTGCGATTCATTGGCAAGAGAACAGCTTGAAGTTCCGGTGGTCCACCTGAAGTTCTTGACTGAGCAAGGCTTTCCCGCGCCAATACAAAAAAAACATGCAGGCCATTCGAAGCGCCGGCAAGATTCACTTCTTTGCGGTGGGGGGCTTGTGGATTCGAGCACTAGCGGTCCCGGCTTGGTGGAATAGTACGCTGGCGGAGTATGCAGACCGAAGAGGTGGGCTGGGGTGTCTCCTGCTCACAAGAAGTCGCGACGCCTTTTGTGGTGACTGGGTTTATTGTTGCATGTTTGTTGGTTTGGATCGAGAGTTTCGAGCCAGAGGAGCGCAGGGGTTGGACATGGTCGGCAGTTGTTTTCGAGTTTTCGAATCTGCGCCGACCTGTTCAGCAAATACTGACCCGCTCGAGCAACAGCTTTCTTTGTTTTGTTTCCTTTACAGCTTGGCTGGATCCCGCCCGTTTTTTTTTTGCCTCGGCCATCTGCTCCGCCTTTCCGTTCGACCCGGTGCCCATCACCACTGCGCCACCAAACTCTGACGAGGTCACTGGCGATGGCTCTGGCCGCACTGCGCCTGGCGTGGCTCGGCGATGATTCTGGATTCTCGGGACCGACCCCAAACGATTTCCATGCCTGCTGGTTTTTTTTGGGCGGATTTTTTAGGTCCAGGCCCAAGAATTGTGGGCACCAATGCCGCAAGGCAAGAAGTGGCCAGTTTGCATCAACCTGTTTTCGGAGCAATCCTGATACTTGGAGGGTTATGAGGATGCGTCAGAGCTGTATCCGTAGATTCGCAATCGACGAAGCTTTGTCTATTTGGTAAGCGAAGTGTATAGGTCGAACAGAAACACCACCGACAAATAGCATCATGCAAAATGCTGCGCTGATGTGCCCTTGCCCATGACTCACGAAAAGGCGAGCAGTTTGGCATGTACTCGCATGTCTACCCCTGCCGATTCTCCACGGAAGGACAAGCCAGTCCTGCGCCATCTTTCGCAGGTTCACAAACAAGCCAGCAACACGGAAAGGGCACTATTACAACATGCCGCCCTCAAAGCGCGCAGATGCAACTGGGTGAAGGAGGAAGGCATCTGCCGAGTTTGGCTCCCGGGAATCGCCAGGTCCACTGCCCAACGGGCAGCCAGGCGGGGGTTATTTGACAGCTCCCAGGTGCCGCAGTTGTTTGGGTTGTGAATAATCAAGAAATCTGTGCAAGGAGGGAGTTGTGAGCTAGACCGCAGGGTTCAGAACACACTTGTCATCCAACTGGCATGCAAGCCTTTGGCAGCCGAGTGGTTCTTTTCTACGCCTAAATGGAAAGAAGTCAACCGCAACCGTGGAAGGCTGGCTCGCGTTTCTGCGCTGCCAGCAGCGCGGCTGCCGCTGGCACGGCCGCCTGCTCCTTTCCAGGCACCCCAACCCGGGTGGGGCGGGGTGGCGGGGCGCAGAGAGGATCTGGAGTGGAAGGGCGCCCTTTTTGACAAGCTTGACAAACCATTTCTAGCTGATGCTTTTCCTTTGTGAAACAGGTGGTTTCTGGATGTTTCTTTGCAGGAACCTTGTGGGTGCGGGGGCAATGGCTCGGCTGTTGCTTGTGGCTGACTGGTCCCAGGCAGCATGAGGTGTTGCTATTGCTTGCTGGAGGGTGGCTGTCGAAGGCGCTCTTTGGATGGCAGCACTGTGTTTGGTTGTTTGTTTTCTGGCAGTCTCGGCATTTCAGTTTCTTTGTGTAGCCAGCTGAATGAACCAAGATCAAAACCAGTGTATGAACCCCGCAGGCTTTCACAATAGGTTGATTCTTGACAACCTCACCCACGGGTCCTCTTTGGAGAATTGCAGGAGGGTTGGCGTATTCAGGGATGGGCCTTCCTGAATAAATCTGCCAAAGGTTCAGCTGGCCAGGTTGAATCGAACGCAGCTGATTGATCAAGGACACAGCTGGGATGAAAGGACATATCATTCAGGTGTGGACAGGTTGTGAAAAGATGCTGTTGAGACTATATTTTTCTAATCAACTTAACATAGCATGTTCTTTCAATCACTTAGAATCCTTCGAAGCCAGTCAGCTAAAGGAAACAAGCTCGGCTACACCTTCCACAACCAAACTCTCTGCTTTCCACCAAGTCACATTTTTCACACATCTCTGGCCCAGCGTTTCTTGTCCGTGTTCCTGATAGGAGTAGTGAGTAGTATGCTAGAACTTGAACAGCGCCCAAACTCCGCTTGGTTCTACTACCTGGTTTAGTTTGGACCATAGTACCTATGATATAAAACCTTTATGACCATTCTAGTCGAACCAGAAGTCAATGGGCTTTGGGTTCTGCTCACTCCATTGTTCACCGTGAATCCTTCCTGCGTTTTGGCCGAGGTCTCCGTGCGCCCTTACATCACAGCCACGCGGCGGAATCGCTGGGCGCGCTCCGTACAGGAAACTAACCCGGGCATATTCCGTTTGGTTCCAGCATGATGCATGAGTCATGACCCCTAAAAGGAGTACCGTCACCAGAAGACACACACACACATATTATCTCTTCTTGCTAGTCACCAAGGTGGGGAGCAAATAATATTTCTGGTGCCTTAAGGTAGCATCTGGGGTATCCGTTACTTTGCAGCATGTTGCTGAGAGATAGACCTGCGAGCAGAGCCTGTGTCAGCTTCCTCTCTTGTGTTATTATATTCATCTCATTGAGAAAGTTGAACCTGTTTTGATATGCCTCACTGCGTGGGCAGGCATTTGGGGGAGGACTTGAACCTCAAATCGGAATTGCGGACGACTATGTTACTTCCCGTTGGGAACTTTTTTGGCTTTCTATCGGTGGCTTGATCTTGCTGTATTCGCATGTTTGTTGCTTGCGTAAGACGGCTTTGATGGAAAAAGCAGCGCCGGTGATGCTGCGGAATGACCGACATTCGAGCCATTGGACGGAGATGGGCAAGGTTCAGCAACGAGTGGGGCTGAGCGAGTGTTGCTGAGCAATCAGCTCAGCACTGCCAAGCACCTTGCCAATTTGTTGCCTCAAATTCCCCGCCAAGGATACAAACTTTTGCCGACCGGTTGGGAGAAGCGATGCCGCAGACGGTATTCATTGCTTTTTTTTCAGGAGGCCTCTCTCCCTTTCCAATCTAGAGTGGCGCAGTTGGATCTTTCTTTTTGCTCAGGGCTCTTCTTTGCTTGCATGCGACTTGTTTTGCTCAGGTTCAGAAGTACAGCAGGGACGATGTGATGACGCTTCTCAACGAGCCGCCCGGCGTTAGTCGGACGCGCAGCCAGGTTTGCTGGTGTTTTGGGTCTCTGCTCGATGGTTAAACCACTTGATGGGGAACTTGCGCCTTCCCCCGTTCCCCAAAAGCCAAGAAGCAGAGCCAGTCGACAGGGCAACAGGTTTGGGGCATTGGGACTGTGATTTATTCCCAATTGCCCAGGAATGACCAAGGAAGGTGTTGGCCAGAAGATGAAATCTTTGCGTGTGACAGTCTAGAAAGTCTAGCAGGTTTCATCTTGTTAAAGCCTGATGAAGTGTTTTGCTTACGATTGGTTTGCAATTTATTGAGGCCTCATCAGCAGTGGGGCTGTTTTCTTTCGACGCGCCAGGGTCTGCCACCTTTCGCCCGCGTTTCGTTTTAAAGGTGGCGGAGCTTTTCGGCTTGAGAGGTTCAGCGCCCGCTGTAGACGCAAAGCTGAGGTACCATGCCACAGCCTGGCCCCGAGTCTCCGAGTCCGCTTGGGGGAACCTGGGTGGAGACATGCCGTCCTTGGACTTGAGCAGATGGGTGCAGAATATGCGGGACAGAGAGCAGTATGAGCAGCATTGCGTGGCAAGCGCGTGATGCAACAGCTGTGAACAGGCAAAGCAGAGAAGCTAAGTTGGTTGTCCTGTTCGAACATATGCGTGAGCTGGCCTCTCATCCAGCTTCTGTTTGGCAAGGTGTATCTGCTTTCCATGTTGTCCAAACCAACTTGGAAGCTGCTGCTGTTGCTTCAGCTTCTGCTACTCCTGCTGCCGTTACTACTGCTACTAGTCCTACCACCCGTTCAATTGTCCCGGTTGAAGCCTTGCCGCTCCTTGCTGTTTCTTGTGGAGAGCATACTTGCCCAGAGGGACAATGACATCTGTCTACGGCCTTCATGGTAATAACAAACGCCAACAATCTTGAATGGACGTCGCACGAATGAATGAAGCTCAGAGTGGGCATGCCTGGTATGGCCTGATAGGGAAGCAGCTTCTGCTGGTGTCCGTCAGTGTACCCTTTCCTTTGTGATCAAAACCTGGAAGACTTGCTCTTTTCGCTGTCCTCTTTCGACAATTCCCTCTTTCAGGCCACGCACCTGCCACAGCAACGGACAATACATCTGGGCAGAGCCACCCCTGGTTGCGATGGGAACATAGGTGTCCTTTTTGGTTGTTTTGGCAAAAGAATAGATGGCCCTGGTTTACCAGGTGGTCTACTCATCTTCCAGGGCCATCTATTTCCCCCAAAAGGACGCCTATGGATGGGAATCTCTCACGGTCCAAAGGTGCTGAGCACCAACTGGGCTGACTACCTGAACTTGGTCTACAGCGTCCCCTTCTGGGAGGCGCATCTTTTTTTTTGCTTCCATGACAGCAGGGCGTGTGAGAAGACAATCTGAACATGGAATGAAAGAATCATTTGAGAAGATATCAAGATTCAGAAAACATGCAGTTGCCTTGTTCCTTGCCTTGTTCACTGAAGATTCAGATTCAAGATATCAAGATTCAGAAAAGATGGAGATCAAATTGGAAGGAGTTGCCTTCCTTTTCAGTGTTCAGCCTCCGGGACCCGGCAGGCCGAGATGGAGCGCCTGGTTAGCAGGGAGTTGGCGCGGGCGGGCTTCTGGTGAGCTTCTGGTGAAGACCCGTCAGTCGTTTACCAACGGTTTCTCCACTTGAACGAGTCCCATTCGTTTTGCCAACCACAGCCCATTCACTTTGATCGTATTCATGGTGGACGACATGAGGCAAGAGTCTGGAAGCACTACACACGAAGCAATTACAATTGCCAGCGAGAGACAGAGAAGAGAGAGCGCTTGCAGCAGGAGAGAAAACCTGCATCAAGCCAGACGTGGTCCTGTCCACGACGAATTGGTTGACTTACTTTGTGCTTCAATTGAAAGCCACCACAAGGAAGGTGTCAACGCAAACGCGCAAACACCCATTCCAAGGCGACCGCTCACTCTTTGCAAGCCCAATAATTTAATCCAAGAGACGTTGGTTCCCCTGGCAAACAGTCTGTTAATCTCACAAGGAGCCCACGTTCCCAAAAGCGGCAAGCAGGTAGATGTCCGCGGAAACTTCAGCAGGAGCCGAGAAACCACCGGCCAGCCAGATTGGGCCCCAACATATCGTTGACCGCATCGAAGATGGCAGTGGTGTTGTTTGGTCTGGGCAGCTGTTGTTTTCTTGACAGTGAATTTCTGAACCCGCTGACATGCAATCCAGGGGTTTCGGAGAATGCCGATCCACGTGTCCATGAGCACATTTGAAGATGGAGAGCTACCCTTTCGCCCTTGTGCTTGGGTGATTTCCATAGGATCCGCGCGTGGTCAACAAGAAGCTTTCGGGGCTTGGTGTATCTCAGCTTTCGGCGCCGCGTGTTTCACATGTGTCATCCCCACGCTTTCCGTCTGAGGAAGCTGACCAGTGTGGTGCAGCCTTACCTGCACGAGCCGGAAGTAGGCTGAGGGGAAGGGTCAAGGGCAGTTACTATGGCGGTTGGCATTGAGCAAAAGGTTTCAGGCAAAAGGTGCTGATTGTGTTGGTACCTTGTACAGCTTGTCATTGCCCTGAAGATGACACAACTCTTGGCCGTCTCTTGTTTGTTCCACCAGGTTTATGGCCAAGGCATGTAGGTGATTGCGCCAACCTGGACGTCAGATGTTTGACTTGGTTTCTGAAAGGGCAGGCTGCAAGATCTTGCCCATAGCAATCGGTTTCTGACCAGGTTCCTGGCGGCTTGTGTATTTCTTTGGTTTGATCCTGTCGCATTGTTGAATGTCAACAAACACGCACATGACTTGTCATTTTCAGGCTGTGATGAGGTACTTCTTCTCAGAGCAGCATATTTAGAGAGAAGCATGCATCGGCTCCATACTTCCAAGCTCCATTCGGTTTCCGATAGATTCCCCTGGGATGGCCAGTGTGCCTTGCACATCGGTTTCACGGCCAACTCTTCGCATCGGATTGAGGGGATTCGGGAGGCGCCAAGTTCAAGGAGGTCCAGGACATGCCGCTCGGCCGTCGCACGCCTTTGGACGTGCCCCGGGGATGCCTATGGTCGGATTGCGGCGAACGGAGGCACGAAACGGTGTATGCGCTTTTTCAGCCGATTTCTGCACAAATACGCCAAGCTTTGGGGGTGCGTCCTATTGCTTCATGTGCCAGGGTTGATTCTTCCCGTATTCACAACCTGCAATTTCCCTGGAATCTCTGGTGGACATTGATGGCTGGTCATCCAGTCCGTCAAGCTGTTGCTTTTTCCAGCACAAGTCAGCTGGCCATGGTATGCGGAATGCGGGCGCATGCTCGTTCCGCACTTGCCAGCCTGAAAGTGAGCCCCACACCCAGATCCTTTTTGGTATGGGACCAAGGATGGACGTCTTCTACGCCTGCGAGGAGTCCTGGGGAAGAAGCACTTAACAGCTTCAAGCCGTCCCCTCCTCCCCTTCTGCACGTTAAGCCTCTAAGGTTTTTCAAAACGACTGGATGAACAATGCTGCGAACCGCTTACATTGGGAACCTGCACGCATGGGATTGCAAGTTTATGTCTGTGCCTCAATCCAGGTCCAACTTGTGAGTGAGATGCAACTTCAGCATCGGCACAAGCAAGCCGAAGGCTGATTGGGCGAAGCATTGGTTTCGCCAAATCTTGTTTGCACAGTCGCAAACCAACTTGCCATACGTCATTGCCCTCCTTTTGCGCGGGCAGATGAAAAGCACCTTCTCCGCCATGAAAGTTCCCAACCCTCTATTCAACAGTCACGGAAGTGGACAGGAGCTCTTTTTTCTCCTATTTTCCAAACCATTCTCTTTGCACTTTCGTTGCAAAGCGGGGTCTCCTTTGTCTCGGTCGCTCGATATTTTTCGCTTTCTCGACTCGATATCTGACAGGACGTGCGCGACCACCTGAACGAGCTGGCGGAGCTGTGCACTCGCGCCTCGGGCTTCATGGGCACGGGCTTCCAGGCGGAGGCGCGGAGAACGGGGGGGGGGGGGGTGGGCAGCTTCGTTTTTCTTAAATTTCGTCCCGGGTTTTTGGACCACAGTTTGTTGCAACTGGTTTTTATGGGCACAAGCAAGCTGAGAAAGGAAAAAACACGGGTCCAATGGTTTCCTTAGTATCATGGTCTGTTGGTGTGGGGGAGACAAGAAGGCTGGAGGCCACTTTCTCAAACAAAAATCCCAACATGCCAGTTCTCTCATCTAGGATTTTCAAGCAAAGGGCCAGCAAACCAGCGAATCCGGGAATCGGAGGTTTCTTTGACACCTTCTTTTGGCTGGTGGCTTTGGGCCGCATTCGCCACTTTTCTTCGCTCACGCTGAGCCCCATGCATTGTCCCCATGGTTTTTGGGGTTTCTTGGGGAGGCGAACGTGCGACCTCAGTTTTCCGTTAAGCCCAGCCCCAAATAGGGGTCACCTCAACCTGATCCAAACCCGTCCTGGGCCAGGAGAAGGTTGAGAACCTGGATGACCACGCTGGGAGCCCAGATGGGACGTGGCCGCTCTCGAAACAGAACATCGGCGTTGGTTTTATTCCTTTTGCCAAATGATCCCTCCGGCTTCCTCGTCAAAGCCAAACAATCACATGATTCCTACGGACAAAAATCCTCCACCACTTTTGTACGAACTGAGCTTCTTTTCCGGGCTTGTCGTCTTCTTGCGCTTCATGACTGAGGCCCAGGTTGCATCCGAGGCCTACGACAAGCACCAGGGCAGACATTCGGGATTGACAGATAGGCCCCTTCCGGAGATGGGGCGCAGCCCATGTGGAGAATTTCTTGTTTTGGCAGATCTTCTGATGTGTTTGTCTTGTTGAATTGTCGTGGTTTGGCACCCTTAAGACAGTGTTAGGTTTGTAAACGATCCCTACAAAGCGGATGGGGGTCACCAGAACGCAGATGCTTCCACCGGTAGTTTCGAGCAATTGGGCGTACTCTGCACATTGGAATCTCAGCGGGAGGAAAGCGGATTGAACAGCATTCCAAACGCAATATACAGCGGTTTGCTTCTCTTCCTTTCAAGTCGGGCGGCTTGTAGTCGCGAGCGTGGTTTGCGGACAAGAGACAGGAACTTCCCTTCTAAGCTAGAGTCAAACAAAAGACATTTCTGCCCGATGACTTTGCAGTTTTCTGGTTCACTCAGATTCCATTTGAAGGCTGAGGGCACCAAGGAAAGCAATGGAAATGCTTTTTGCTTCAACTTGCAATGGCACCTTCAGCCACGGCAATTGACAAGTGTCCTGTTGAACAATGACAATATTTGGAGAGAATCGAATTGGAGGCAAATGGGGATCCTTGTTGTTTTCCATCTCTTGTCCGATTTCCCAATCCTTTCTCAGAAGAAATGCTCATTGAGACGAGCGTTTGCAGTTTGCTTAACTTCAGGGCTATCTTGAGTGAACAGATTGAGGTTATTCCCACTTTCTGAAATGTATACGCTGATTTCTTGCCCTGCTGCTTCGCCCCAACTGGGATGTGGCCAGCCGAAGAAACAGCGACTGCGCCTTGTGCGTTGGAGATACCAGGGGCTCGCATTGCACTGCACCAGTTGATAGGTCGCAAGTTGCCGCCATTCTGGGCCAAGGATCCTTGCGAAGTATCCTGACTTCAAGCCGAAGATTGAGCAGACCATTGGACACGGCCTCGCCATCCTGCGTGCCTTGGTAAGCCAGAGACCGCAAATTCGAGCACCAGGTGTTTGTTTGGCCGAATGAGACGCTAGAGATCCGGGTTTCGCATGATTGCCATGTTTACGAGCATCTTTCCCCCCCCAAAATGCTTGGTAATTAGTTCGACCACAAACACAACACACACAACACACAAACACACACACACACACACACACACACACACACACACACACACACACACACACACACACACACACACACACACACACACACACACACACACACACACACACACACACACACACACACACACACACACACACACACACACACACACACACACACACACACACACACACACACACACACACACACACACACACACACACACACACACACACACACACACACACACACACACACACACACACACACACACACACACACACACACACACACACACACACACACACACACACACACACACACACACACACACACACACACACACACACACACACACACACACACACACACACACACACACACACACACACACACACACACACACACACACACACACACACACACACACACACACACACACACACACACACACACACACACACACACACACACACACACACACACACACACACACACACACACACACACACACACACACACACACACACACACACACACACACACACACACACACACACACACACACACACACACACACACACACACACACACACACACACACACACACACACACACACACACACACACACACACACACACACACACACACACACACACACACACACACACACACACACACACACACACACACACACACACACACACACACACACACACACACACACACACACACACACACACACACACACACACACACACACACACACACACACACACACACACACACACCCACCCACCCACCCACGCACGCACGCACGCACGCACGCACGCACGCACGCACGCACGCACACACGACACACACACACACACACACACACACACACACACACACACACACACACACACACACACACACACACACACACACACACACACACACACACACACACACACACACACACACACACACACACACACACACACACACACACACACACACACACACACACACACACACACACACACACACACACACACACACACACACACACACACACACACACACACACACACACACACACACACACACACACACACAGACACACACAGACACACACAGACACACACACACACACACACACACACACACACAGACACACAACACACACACACAGACACACACACACACACACACACACACAGACACACACACAGACACACACAGACACACACACAGACACACACACAGACACACACACAGACACACACACAGACACACACACAGACACACACACAGACACACACACAGACACACACACAGACACACACACAGACACACACACAGACACACACAGACACACACACAGACACACACACAGACACACACACAGACACACACACAGACACACACACAGACACACACACACAGACACACACACAGACACACACACACACACACACACACACACACACACACACACACACACACACACACACACACACACACACACACACACACACACACACACACACACACACACACACACACACACACACACACACACACACACACACACACACACACACACACACACACACACACACACACACACACACACACACACACACACACACACACACACACACACACACACACACACACACACACACACACACACACACACACACACACACACACACACACACACACACACACACACACACACACACACACACACACACACACACACACACACACACACACACACACACACACACACACACACACACACACACACACACACACACACACACACACACACACACACACACACACACACACACACACACACACACACACACACACACACACACACACACACACAGAAACACAGAAACACAAACACAAACACAAGCACTTTTCAATACACGCCACCTTCATCTCGGACATCACAGGTTGCCATCCGAGTTTTGTCCAAAAGGTTCCGCAGGCCGAAGACCAGCCCATTCTTGCGCACAGTTTCTGTGGACCACAGGCAGGTTGGCGTAGATCTGTTTTAATCCCCAAGCCAGAGCCTTCCAGATGGCTGGTCCTCGCCTGCTGTCGATAGCATTCAAAGTCCACAGAAGTTGCTGTAGCTGAGGTTCCTTTTCAGGCACCGTGTGTTTGTTCCCTATCAGATAGCTGCGAACTAGAAGCTTCATTTGTGTCGCGCTCTGTCGCCAAGGTCAGAAGCACAAGTTCAAGTTCGGCAGCATGCACCGCTACTTCTACTGAGTGCGCGAGCATTGGCGGTGCCAAGCAGATCGCTTTGGCATGGGCACTCGATATGAGGAGATCAATGGTGAATGTAGCCGGGGCTGAAGCCGGCGGATAGCAGTTGTGGAAACCAAGGCCTCAACAGACGGACGATCGAGCTCCTCAAATCAGGGATTCGGCCCCGCCTGACTTGCACAAAAGGATTTCACGCGATGCCGTTCATGTTTGAAAAACTGCACATTGTCATACGCTCTCGGTGTTCGTGCTCTATACCACAACTTGTATTCCATGGCAGGCTGGTTTGTTCAAGCCTCACAACAGGAGCAGGTCTGACAGCCCAGGCGGTTGAGCCACGTGCTCGTTTTGCCGATTCGGGTAGATGAAGCTTAGTAAAGGACGATCCCCCCATGAATAGCTGCGGATATCCGCATGGTTCTGGGTAGACCATTTTAGTACCGGGTTTTGATTGTGACTCAGTTGACGTTTTCGCAAGTTCCCCACTATTGGCTGTAGCTCTTAGTTTTATGCCTGGACCTGCCTGGGGGCAAATTGAGATTTGGGTTTTGAGACAGGTGTCAATGCCTATGCAGTTGGCCCTGCAGGAGAATTCTTTGTGTTCCCAAATCTGGTGCAACTATGTTTTGCCTTCAAGCCCATTTCCAAAGGCGCCTATTGCAACTGGCCGTATATCGGCTTCCGTGTTCGTCCACTGCATGCCCAACAAAGCAAAAGAACTTGGCAGACTTGGTATAGCAAAGAATCAGCCTGCCAGAAAAAAATGAGGGCTCATTAAGGGTCCTTCAGAGGCTTTCAAAGGTGGCTGGATTTGTTGACCCATCTGCAGCTTTCGAGATGGCAACTTGTTGTCGGCGGTTGGCCGTGCCCCTGCCCAGGGGTATTTTGGATCGTACGAGCTGAGCTCAGCGAGCCTCGTCCGTCCTCGCTTTGGTAAAAAGCTTGCGCGACAGGGCCGCGCGGTTTCGGGCAGGACTTAGGAGGGGGAAAACTTCCTGAGAGAGGTGTCTGAGGGTTGCGCAGTCCCATGTTTTACGGGAGGCTTGGGCTGAGGATGTGTTCTTTGGGTCGTCACAGACCAAAAGTGAAAGAGGAAGAGCTGCGAGAATTGGAGCGGCCAGCTGCGAGCCGAGGGTTCTCCTAACTCGTCCTTAGTGTGAGCATTCAGCTGAGGCCATTGGAGAATCCTTCATTTCGCATTGCCTAGTGATTGTATAGAAAGAAATCAGGGTTGCCACCACTTCGTTACCAAGGTGTTTGCAGACTACGTAGACCTCTGCCTCAACACTCGTGTCCAGGGTGCAGGCTGATGTCAATGGAAATTCTTGGTCAACCGCATCTTTCGGATGCGGATCTCTGAGTTTTGCGAGCGGTGGCCAGTATTGTGGTTGCCCCCCTCCCCTCCTGGAGAAGAGGATGGCCCCAGAGCAATCCCGCGGGTGCGGGACTTTCTGGACTTGTAAAAGGCCAAATCCACAGCAGGCATCGATTCATAGCCGCCAGTGACACCTTGCAACGCCGAGGTTGCCTGCCATTGATCTTAGTGTGAATATCGTGGGCCTTTGTTGGTGTGCATTTCAATTTGCGCAATGTGTTCAATTCGCATTATTTTGCTACATAACTTTGCCGACCTTTGTGGTCTGGGGTTATGGCCAGTCTGGCACAGCAATGGTTTCAGGCTCTGTTGAAGTCGGAACGTGGAGTAACGAGTAAGATGCGAACCGGTGGTTCTGACTGTCGGACTCTTAGGTCGGGGCCCAGGCCCTACCAAGAGGCGAGGCTGAGCCGGTTGAGCGGATGTTCACCAGCCCAAAGCCGCGAGAACGTTGGTGGTAACATACTGAGTGGACGTGGATCGACTTTCGCAGCGCCAATCAACCAGGTGGGGCATCTAAACTTCTATGACAAGGGTATTTGCACATCATTCAACTTCAGTCTCGTGCGATTTCGGAACCTGAGGCGAGGGCATCGGATTTAGAGTTCATGCGAGGCTGAGAGATAGCAGGCATCCAGGTTCGATTGGTCCAAGGGCTTGCATTTCCACGCAATGCTCTAAGCAACCATCTCCCAAGACGGAGGGGATGGATCAGCAAAGCGACAGTGCGAGGTGTGTGTTGTCGCCTGCACATGCAGGTTCCTTTGGCCAGAGGTATATTCTGTTTCTGTGATTGCATTGCTCAAGTGAAGCCTTACACACCAATACCATTATTTGTAGTCAGTTGGCTTTGGTAAGACACTGGCAAAACAGGAGCAATCTGTGTTACCTGTGAAGAAGGCCAGCTTTTTAAATGCGCGGCAGCACACATCAACAGGTGAACTGCCTGACGTTGGTTGCCAAGAGCAAGCGCTATTCCAGCAGGTCTGTGTCTCACCTTGTTTTCAGTTTCGTGAAACATTTGTCCCGAACCTTTCACAGGCAAGGACCTGCAAGGATTCAACGTGGTAGCTCCATCGCTCGGCCAGGCGACAGACCGAGTCTGCGCCAGGCGCGGCTCGGAAGGGCAGGTTGTCCTTGGCCCGCAAGGGGGTGGTCGGTTCCCGAGGACGAGGTTCAGGCACGATGTTCTTGCGTATTGTTGGAGAACTGTTCTAACATAATTCACCAGAGACATGATTGGCAGTCTCCTACATGACGTTATATTGCCATTGAAAGGGCTTCCCTCATTGCATCGTTTCAGCGGCTTTTCTGCAGGTTCGAAAGACGTGCCGCACTATCTGCTTGCCCATTTGCTTGTGAACATGTCCCCAGGCGCAACATTCATGCCAGAGTCACACACACACCGTGCTGTTGGGGGAGCCGAGGCACCATATTGTGATGTGTTTGTGAGGTTTGCGAGGGTCGTTGTTGTCTTGCATTCTGTTCAGTGAGTTGGTTGGCTGGATGATGAGCCGAAGAACGTGCACCCAGAGCGCAGACGTGGGTGGAGAAGATTTTGGTGAGCGTCAACACAAGCAAGCCCATGGTGCAACGGCTGGAGACCAAAGAGGTTCCTTTCTCCTTTCGAAACACTTCAGTCTTCCCTTCCAGAATACATGACAATCTCCGATTCAGAGTGAGGTTTCGTAGCACACATAGGTTTGTGTTTGTGTAGAAGGGATCTGGACCCGCTTTTTCAACAGGGACTCGACAGGAAAGTGACTCACCCTTTGGGGCTCCGGCGCCAGGCAGATCCAAGGCCCCTCGCCGGGAGGCGGAGAGGGAGCATTTGCCATTCCTTTCGGCCCCTCCGAGGTTGGCAAATGGCTGTGGTTGTCAAAGCCGTTTTGGGATCCCATTTTGGGGTTTTCGGTGAATTCACCACCCATTTTAGGTTTCCCATTTTAGTGGTTGGATTGGTTGATGTTCACTGAAGGTACGATTCGGGTTTTGACCCATAGCCAAATGTGAACAGTTAATCTTGACACCATCTTTTTGCTGTAGAACAGATCGCTGTGAGAGAGACCCCGCACCATTTTTGAGCAGCAAGGTGGTGTGTGATTCGGAGAAACTGTTGCGCATGGCTCATCAAACACTTGGGCTTACAGCGTCGTGCCGAAGCAAGCTCAAGTGCACGCACTAACTTGAAGCAACAGCACGTCAATTCACCCAATGAAGCACTTCCATGCATATCGAGGATCTGCAATTTGCTGAAGTTGCGAGCGGGCGCTTTGTACTTGGACTGTGTTTGATCGTAGGTGGCTTAAGTTGAAAGTTCGCGCAAAGCGGCCCGGAGTGGCATTGGGAATCCCAGCTTCAAGACCCTCGGGTGTGTTGGTTTTGAGGGTACCCTGTTTTGAAAGGGAAACCACAAGGAACACAGAACTTGTTGGGTTCCTCTCCCCCTACCCAACCATTTCGCTCATGCCCTGCCAGGCTGCGGCCATGTCGCGGGCAGGCGTGTGCGCGGGAGTTTGATGCTGTTTTCCGTGTCGGCATTCGATTTCGGAACAGAGGACAGAGACATGGTTGTTGTTGGGAAACATGTTACATTTTTGCTTATTGTGGTTTAGTGGGCAAATCCCCACTTTGTTGCTAAAACATATTTTTTTGCTACCCTTCCAACGTCAACCAAGGAGATGGAGAGGAACAAGCATATGGCTCCTGCCGCCCAAGGTGCCGCCTTTTAAAGGGGAGACTTGTACCGAAAAGGGCCAATGATTTTGACAATCCTCCGCATGACCTTGGCAACAAGGTGACTTTCGCAGGGATCTCTTTCAGTCATTGGGTTTGTCAATGGCGCTTTGGTTTTGTTTCTTGCTGCGAGAGGCTTCCGTTTACAATTCTTTGGTCGGGTCAAAGGAAAAGGAAAGACTCCATTTTGGGGGGTCTCCTATGTTGAACACGCAGGCCATGACATGCGATTTCAAGATGGTACAAGAAATGTGACGCCCTTGAAAGCGTACTTCAAGACGGACCCAAACGCATACAAGCCAATCTATCAGGGAGATGTTTCAAGACAAACGAAAGTCAATTTGCAAATGAATAGCAATGTTTATGGGTTCGTGTTAGAATCAATTCGTGGCATAATCAACTGCATGTGTGATGCCTCTTTGTTTTATTTCGGGACCCACTGCATCCATCTAAAATCTAGCCGTCCGCTTCACTTCCCAAGTGCCGCCGACTTATGAACATGCAAACTTGCAACTATATGCAGCGGGTCTGACCTTGCGTGTTGCTGGGCCCAAGCTTCTATGCGGTTTATTTGCATGTCAGGTCCAAGTGTCAAGCGTCCTATCCACCGAACAGCATCACTTCCATTCATCCAACCAATCAAGGGAGCCCCCTCAACACAAAAAAGAAACACCCTGAGCAGCCGGGTGAACTCCGTGCATTGCGTCTGTCAGGAGCTGGTGAATCTGCATCCAACTCCCCCAGCGAGGCTGGGCTGAGACTTCCGACCTCGTGCCAAAGAGGGGACTTGGGGGGTGCCGGACCCCAAGACGGCAATCAACCTGGGGAAATAGGGAGTGTTCCGCCCAAAAGCCAAGGATTCGCCCTTAAAGGAGACGAACATGATTAGTCAACCGTATTCATCTTGGGTTTCCATTAGTTCTGGTGTCATGCTGGCCCGCCTTTGAAGGGGTCCAAAGCAGGGTCGACCTGTTTGATCACCCAGTATGCCGATACGGAGGCTTTTGTCAACATCACTGAGCACTTGGCAGCTGTGGGAGATTTGCTGACTAGCATCCTGTGTACTGCTTTCGTGCTTCAACCCCTGATCCTCTCTGCGTCGACCCCAGGCTCTGGAAGCATGGGGCACCCTGTGGGTTAAATATGCTAATTACCATTGACCTGACAGAAACAATGTGGATGTGCATGGCTGGCGACCGGTCCGCTTTGACCCTGGCAAAGATGGTAGTGCGCCCCTTGCGGGCTTCTTTGTATTTGACGAGCAGATCCCACTCACTACGTGAGAAGCACAAACAGTTCGAGACTCGAGCTCCAGGGATGTTCCGTTTGGTCACTTGACCCAAATCATGGCAGCCTTGCGCCAGCGCCGCTTGGTATGGCTCGTCAGGGTCTGAGGGTCCAACCACGTAGCCCTGGGTAGGTGCGTACCACTGAAATCACAGCCCGCATGCACGCAAAACGTACTTGGCAGATACCCAGAGGTACCTCTCCCAGGGTGCGTGGTTGGGCCCCAGGGGCGTCCGGCCCCCCGCTTTTTGCATTTTGGACCCATGGAGCCGGAAACCCCATGGCCGCAGCTGCGGTTCCACAAGACCACCTTGCCGCCGCATGCGGTGCAGCATGCGGCGGGGACGACATGGCGGCAGCGCGCTGCCAAGACGGGGGGGGGGGCAAGAGACCTGGGCGCCTGTTTGTGATAAAGGAAAGCCAGGATGAAACCCCAACCATGTTGGTGGTTCCACCTGAGTCAAGGGACTCAACCTACCGCAACCTCGACGGGTTCAAGCAACCCTAGTTAAAGCTCGAAATTGATCTAGGGCTGGGAGCATTGCTATGTTCGTGCCTACATGCTATCTGAGCAATCCACTACTGCAGAACTTCCTTGCACTTGCGACTCCAAACTGTCACTTGCTCTTTCTTCGGCACGTTTAAGAGGGAGGATCAATCCGCGCCGCATGCTGTTCGACAACGAATTGCTGGGCTACTTGAGCTCCAGTCTTGAAATCACTGCCTCCGCTCTCCCTCAGACAACTCAGTGCTATACTGAATCTGGGCGATCTGATGAAGAAACTCTTCATCAACTCCCTCAATCTGTCAACCTTTCCCTGTGCAGAAACAACAAGAGTCAAAGCAAAAAAACACCGACACAACGAAGAGCAAGAAAACACGCAAGCTGCACAGGTCGTGAACTGTTGTTGGGAATCCTCACCTTTCAGCGTTTGCTTTTGCAAACGGGCACCTGTTGGCAACTGTCCTTCGGCGAGCCTTGAAGCCAACGTTGGAAAACGGTGTGAGAGAAGCCTGTACAAGCCACTGCGGAATCCGGAAAAAATCCAGAGAAGCCTTAGTTGTCGAGCACTCAAACCAGAGAAGCCCCTAGACATGTTGCACAGCTGGGAGTTAAGAGGATCGTGCTCTGCCTTCGTCTGAACATCAACAAGAGCTGGAGCCCGGCTTTGAGAAGGGGCGGAAATGAGAGCAGCTAAAACCCGTCCAGATCGAATGTGTCCTGTCCAAGTGTCAACAACTGCTGAGTTGAGAATGTCAAACTGAGTAGCGTCAGTGAGAATGTCAACACCGACAACAGTGATGCGAAAAGGGCGAGATTCACAAAACCCTTCAGTCCAATGTCGAACATCGTTTTCCCTCCCACAAAAGAAAGAAAGAAAGAACACAATTGGAAACCCCAACTCAAGGAACAAAGTCGGCAATGTCCTGAAAAGTGGCTCTGCCCCCCCAAAGTGACACTACCCTTTCATCTCTGACCCAGCTTGGCAAAAGCGCGAGTGCTTTGCATCGCATGCCGCTGGTTGCTGGAGTGTCAAAAAGCCGCAGAAAGCTCTCATGCCATGCAAGGTCTGTTTCATACGCTGGCAGCGCTCGTGCTGCCACAAACTGCTGAAATGATCATAGCTTTGTTTCACTGCCTGTGTGACAGCTGCGTGAGTACCAAGGACAAGAGAGGCAGCTACAACCGGAGACTCCCAATCATGCCTGTCTTCACAAGGGACAGGGGGCAAAACCGGGCAAACGTTGGCATGGAACCCGGTCACTTGGCTCCTGGGAGAAACTAATGCTGACGGCGTTCGCAGGACAGCGAGCGGCATCACGGGCCTTGCGGCCATGCTGTTCATCAGAAATAGGGGCCTCAGGTGGGGAGTCGACGGGTCGAGGGGTTGGGGGGTCGAGGGGCCGATGGAGGTCGATGGAGGTCAGGGCAGCTTTTCAGGTTTTCTGGGGGAGGGAACATGACATTTCTCAAAAACAATGGCTGGCGAACATAACTTGGACACAATCTGGCGACACGGACCAGTGATGCATGCTGGTTAAGAGGGCATTCCTGGCAAGCCTGCATAGTAATGACAATCCTCGAAATAGGGACCTGTCCAAGAGCGATTGTTGTCCTTGCCACACGTGGGTGGAGGGAGGCAGTGCTTGCCTGAAAAGGCACACCAAGTGCAAAGGCTTATGATGTGTGTAACCACCATGAGAACAGAGAGCTTAAACGCAATCCGAATTTTATGAGTTCCATTCTTTTTTCTGTGATGGTGGGTGGAACTCCTGCTCCCTTTCGTGGCACAAGCCTAAGCACACCCTAAAAGCCAAGACCCCGTCTCCCCTCAAGGAAGCGCTGGGCCGTGCCGGGGGCGCTGGTGCGCCTGGCCTCGGCGGCCTCTTTGTCCTCGTCCCCGAGTTCAGCGCCCAGCTCGGAGCTGCAGGCGGAAGCGGAGCCGTTTTTTTTTCATTTTCTTTCCTTTTTCCCGAAAGCATCGCGAAGGGTTCTTCCGTGCGGAGCCCTTGGACAAGTTACACAGAGCCAAGTTGCACAGAGGCACAGAGCCAAGTTACATAGAGCCAAGTTACATAGAGCCAAGTTACATAGAGCCAAGTTACATAGAGCCAAGTTACATAGAGCCAAGTTACATAGAGCCAAGTTACATAGAGCCAAGTTACATAGAGCCAAGTTACATAGAGCCAAGTTACATAGAGCCAAGTTACATAGAGCCAAGTTACATAGAGCCAAGTTACATAGAGCCAAGTTACATAGAGCCAAGTTACATAGAGCCAAGTTACATAGAGCCAAGTTACATAGAGCCAAGTTACATAGAGCCAAGTTACATAGAGCCAAGTTACATAGAGCCAAGTTACATAGAGCCAAGTTACATAGAGCCAAGTTACATAGAGCCAAGTTACATAGAGCCAAGTTACATAGAGCCAAGTTACATAGAGCCAAGTTACATAGAGCCAAGTTACATAGAGCCAAGTTACATAGAGCCAAGTTACATAGAGCCAAGTTACATAGAGCCAAGTTACATAGAGCCAAGTTACATAGAGCCAAGTTACATAGAGCCAAGTTACATAGAGCCAAGTTACATAGAGCCAAGTTACATAGAGCCAAGTTACATAGAGCCAAGTTACATAGAGCCAAGTTACATAGAGCCAAGTTACATAGAGCCAAGTTACATAGAGCCAAGTTACATAGAGCCAAGTTACATAGAGCCAAGTTACATAGAGCCAAGTTACATAGAGCTAAGTTACATAGAGCCAAGTTACATAGAGCCAAGTTGCATAGAGCCAAGTGGCACAGAGCCAAGTGACACAGAGCCAGGTGGCACAGGGCCAAGGTTAGGTAGAGCTTGCGTAGAGCTTCGGCGTAAGCAGCTATGTAAGTTAGTTTAGGTTTCTAAGGCGCCGGGGCGGGAGTTTGATCGTCGCTCGGGATTGCGACCCTCTGCGGAGGTTCGCGTGGTCGAGGTTCAAAAACTGAGGGCTTTTTACGATTTTTAGTTCAAAAACTGGGGACTTTTACGATTTCTGCTGGCCGCGCGCGACCCTCTAAGGAGATTCGCATGGTCGAGGTTCAAAAACTGAGGACTTTTTACGGTTTTTAGCATGCGCGCGCGACCCTCTGCGGAGATTCTCAACAACTGAGGACTTTTTACGATTTCTGCGGTCCGCGCGCGACCCTCTGCGGAGATTCGCGTGGTCGAGGTTCAAAAACTGAGGACTTGTTACGATTTCTGCGGTCCGCGCGGGACTCTGCGGAGATCGTGCGCGTCGAAGCGCTCTCGCTGTGGCGCCGTGCGAATTTGTCTTAGTCTCGGCGAACCCTGCGGAGATTGTGCGTGTCGAAGCGCTCTCGCTGTGGCAATTTTCTTGCTCGCGAAACGGCCTTTGGAAATTGTCTCGTGGTTTGCGCGCCTGCTTTCGCAATCCCGCAGTCGCGGGTTCGATTCCCCCCTGGTCCGCGGCAGCTCCGGCTTGAAAATCGCAGCTTTTAAGTACAAACGTAGTACGCGGAGCGTGCTCCTGCAGCTCCGGCTGGAAAATCGTAACTTTTAAGTACAGACGTAGTGTGCGGAGCGTGCTCCCGCAGCTCAGGCTGGAAAATCGCAACTTTTAAGTACAAACGTAGTACGCGGACCACACCCCCGCAGCTCCGGCTTGAAAATCGCAACGTAGTACGCGGACCCTCTGCAGCTCCGGCTGGAAAATCGCAACTTTTTATAGTACAAGTACATTCCCACAGCTCCGGCAGCACTTGCGCAGAGCAACTTGCGCAGAGTCACTTGCGCAGAGCAACTTGCGCAGAGCAACTTGCACAGGGCAATTGCACAAAGCACTTGCGCAGAGCAACTTGCACAGAGCACATGCGCAAAGCGCTTGCACGGAGCAACTGGCGCAGAGCACTTGCGCAGAGCAACTTGCTCAGAGCACTTGCGCAGAGCAACTTGCACAGAGCACATGCGCAAAGCGCTTGCACGGAGCAACTGGCGCAGAGCAACTTGCACAGACCAACTTGCACAGAGCACATGCGCAAAGCGCTTGCGCGGAGCAACTGGCGCAGAGCACTTGCGCAGAGCAACTTGCTCAGAGCACTTTGAGCACTTGCGTGCAGCAGCGTGCAGCAGCTTGCAGAGAGCAAATTGCGCGCAGCAGCCTGGAACAATGCAGCTCGCGCAGACCACTTTCGTGAGAAATTGCGCGGCGCAGTTCGAGAGGAAGGTAGGATGATGAGATGGAGCTCTCATGTGACCATACACACTGAGCATCGCCGCGCGCAGACACGCTCGCCGCAGCGATGTAAAAAGGTGTCTCCGCGGCTGGATGAGCGCCTGTGGAAAAATGCTTTCGGGCCAATCGTCCTCTAGTTTTTTAATCCTTTTCTATTTTCTTTTCTTTTTCTTGTCCTTTGTTTCTTTCTTTTTTTTCTTCCTCCTCTTCTTTTTTCCTCCATTTTTCAGTTTCGGAGTTGTGTCTTGGGAATGCCCCAAGGGAAGTTGATACCCAAAATGTTGTGCAAAGGGCGGGGAAGTTGGCACAAAAAAAGGTTTGTGGCTGGCCGACTTTTTTTGCGGGAGGTGTGAAATGGAAGTCAAGGAGGAACTGGCCGTGGTGGACCCAGCCGAAGGGTGCTTCATTTTGGGATGTTGCAAACAGGGAAGTCAAAGGGCATCCGGCCATTTTGGGGTATTCAGAGATGGCAATCTTAGTGGTTGCAAAATTCTTACAAATGACTGGTGCACGGAATCAACAAGGGAAAGACGCTCACAAAAGGGTCCCCCCAAATCCAAGGTTTATGCCTACACGGGGTTCCCGCCTTTGTTTCCTTTCGCACATCTGAAAGGGGACGCCTAACAGGCTTTTGAATTGGCGCCACAATTTCGTTTTGGTGTCGTTCAAACATCAACTCAAGGTTCCTCCGAACATATGGGTACGTGTCACAATAGGTGAACCCTACAATTCCGATTTCCCTCTTAAACCGAACAGAATAGGGTACCCTCAACAGAAACACAACACCCGTATCCTTGTTCATACGGCCAGCCCAGCGCCCTCGATATCAACCAGGTGAGCAACCGGAGCATCTACGTCCTGTTGATCGTGTCCTGCTTGAGCCTCCTAGGCCCGGGAGGGACGGATTTTCGAATTGTTTTGGCCGACGGATGGGAGTGTTCAGTCGAGACATGACATGAATTTTGCTGACGACTGTTGGGTGATCAGATCCCCGGCCGAAAGTGTATGATGGAGAACTGACTCACACGGAGACAGGATTGCCCGAAGGTATGTTGTTGGCACATAAGTCGACTGCAGAGCTGCGTTGCGACTTGCAACCACGAGCGGTTGGATCGGCAAGTGGTTGGATCGCACTGGTTGGCTGACACTAGGCTCGCTCACGCGAAGAGACTGGCAAAAAGGGTCCCCAAAAGGCGGATAGCCCACCCAATTGATTGCGAGGGTCCTGAACAGGATTCTTCCCTGTTGGCAAACTGCATGGTGACCTCACTCATGCTGAAGGCTCTTTCTTTCATAGGAAACCCCTATTTTGGGTTCGCGAATTCTTTATTCCACCCAGATGTTGTAGAGCACCAAGCTTTCACCAAAACACGTCGAGCTCTCGATTATTGCACGCAATTTGGCCGTTTCATTGCCAGGCATGAATAACCCTTCCTTCATTTCCCTTTCAACCAGCAAGCAGCCCTTTCCTCCAACGATGGAAGTGGACAAGAGACACTTTCAAGAGGATGGTACAGGCTGAGCCTTACAAACCCTCCTGTCTTCCATTGGACAGAGGGACACCCTTTTGGGGTCAAGGGGGGGGACGTGAGCTTTCCCCCCCAAACCAAAAAAGCAGCGAGCGCTCGAGTTCCGCTCGCGTTCCGCTCGAGTTCCGCGCGAGCCGCGCGCAGGGCTGACGATGCCCTCGCCGGCGCTGCCGCTGATCCGGAGCCACTTTGGGCTGGTGGACTGGCAGACGGGGCTGGTGTCCTCGTGCATGCCGGGGAGCCGAGGTGGAGGGAGGTGGGAGGCGGGAGGTGGCTCATGTGGATCCTGAAAATTCGGTGGTTCTTTGGTTGCCTTTAAAAAGAAAGCCCAATGGTTCCCGCAAAAAGTATGATGCTTGTGTGGATGTGGGGCTCTCTTTTCAGCAATCATGGGAGCTGATGGGAGGGGCAAGAGCCACAAGCCACGCAATGCTTTTCTCTGAGTGTCGGCCGCCTGCTGCTTTCAGCCCATGCGCGACCCACACGCCGACAAAGCGCTTCCCGGGCGGCGGCAGCGAGTGCCAGGCCGTTGGGTCCCAGTTTGAAGCTCCCAGGTCCCTCGGCATGCTGGCGGCGGTGGCCGTGTGGCCCAGCTACTCAGACACCCTGGGCCGCAAGAAGGCGCTGGACAGTGTAGGTGTCCAGAAGGGAAAACGCCAGGTCCCGCATTTTTTTGCCCACGGTGTTTGTTGCCCAAAGCGAAACACAACAGACTTGGAGGTGATGTGCATTGCCAATTGCCGTGGGTTGTCTCGGAACCAGGCTAGGCCTGTCACCAGATATGCAGCATGTGCTTTGCGGAGCAAATGAGCTGCCTTCCAAGAGGTTAGCTGTTTCGCTCGTATCCCACTGGTTTGATCACACATCAATTGAAGAGGCAAACATGTTGGACAGCCGAGGTCGAGGTCAAATAAACACTCCTCGCCAACTTTCTGCAAACAAGGCCAAAATCCAAACTGGCCCCAGAGATTTCCCCGGCATCACACCGGAAAAATGGTTGGCAGAGCCGTTGGGGTCGCTTGCTTCCGGGGAATTTCTGCACAACGATTCGCGAACAGCAGTTCATTGCCTCCCGAGTCCTAACCAACGGGTTCCGATCGCCTGGATAGGACAATCACGTGTGTAGCGATATGGCCATGGTTCAAAGCCAATGGTACCACTTTGGGATGGGTGCACCACCCATTTTAGAACCTATCTTAGTGGTTGGATTGGGTCCCGTTCACTGGGGGCTAAGGATTTGGGTTTTGACCCACCATATGAAATCGCGCCCAAAAAACCACCCATGGGTCACGAGAGCAGGTGCTGACGCTGTCGCTCTTCTGCACCGCGGGGCTGTTTTGTGGCCAGGCGCCGGGGGGGGGCTGGTTGGCCTATAGTTCCTGCGGTTTTAAGGGGGACATATCATATTGGGAACTTCGTGCTAAGGCTTGGTGTGGGTCATACCTCTCTTGGCAAGTCAGTCGGAATCCAATCCCCCGCCACGCTTGACGTGCACATGCCATCGCTTCTCCGGCCATTGTCTTTGCCTGGCCACCTCGCATGGTTGCGAAAATGCGGTTTTGGGGCCACTTTCTGTAGAAAGGGAATGCCCTTGTAGGGAACCCCACTCAACGTTCTTGGTGATGTCAACATGCCACCACGGGAGGTGGCTCTCTCAAGTCTCAAGACTTGCAGGTCATGAAGCTGAAGCCGGGCAGCAGTTTTCAGGAGTTCCTGCTGATGCGATTCCTCACGGGGCTTTTCGCGGGGTGCAACCCCATCTTCAAGGCGCGTCGCGGCGCTCATCTTTTCTTTGGGACGTAGTTTTTTGCAGAAGCTATAGGCAAGGGTGCGGATGTGGTGAAGGGATCACGCTGAAACAGGAACACGGACGTGAAGAGGGGCTGTGTGCAAGCCATTCATCTTTTGCGGGAACATGTTGGCACAGGGATAGCCCTTGAATTGGATTCCTAGAATGGATGGGAGGCCTTGGAACTTATCTGGCCCCCCCAATGTAGCTAGAGGCTAGTTGCCAGGCCTTGACTATCTGCGTTTGTCATGACAACTCCGCTCTTGTTGGGCAATCTTGTCCCCCTGGTAAGTGGCACGTGCGCGCAGGCGAACTGCACCTCAGACTCGAAGAGTTTCCTTCAACTCGGGTACCTTGCAGTCTTTGCAGTGCATGGCCAATCCATCTGCCTGCTTGTGCGACTGGGTTGTTGACTTTGGGTGTTTGAGTGGGGATACAGCTGGTCTCCGGGTGGTGAAGAAGGCGGTTGTCCTGGATTTGTCAGACCAACATCTCCCAGCCTTCTCTCCCGGGCTGGGCTTCTCTTTCAGCTTGGTTGGCCGCCTCAAAGGAGGCCTCAAAGGACGCCTCAACCCGCTTCGCGACCTCGGACCCGTAGAACCCTGTTCGGAGCATTCTCTGGATCCCCGTTCCTTTGGTGAGGTCCGAAACCACCATCATGTTTTTGTTTCGGCCCCCACCTTTCCCCAGGTCGCCCGTGGACGTGTTTTTTGTTGGGGGGCACTTCCCTTGGACTCGACTCCCTCGGTTTTTGTTTTGGTTTCTCCCGCGAGGCCTACCTGGCGGACGTGGTGCCCTCCGAGCAGCTGCCGCGGTTCATGGTCTTCCGGGAGGCCTCGGCCACGCTGGCCTTCATCATCGGCCCCGCGCTGGGCGGCTTCCTCTGCATGGACCCGCGCGAAATCCGCGAAGTCCGCGAAGTCCGCGATCCGCGCGAGCGAGTGCAGATGCGAGCATGATGCGAGCGTGATCCGTGCGCATGCGCGGTGGGGGGAAGCTGAGCCGCGAGTGGGGGGAAAGCTGGGGAAGTCTGGAGTGTGAGTTGCTGCAGTGGGAAGGGGGGGGGGTTGTGGAGTTTTTGGGTTGGGGAAGTCTGGAGTGTGAGTTGCTGCAGTGGGAAGGGGGGGGGGGTTGTGGAGTTTTTGGGTTGGGGAAGTCTGGAGTGTGAGTTGCTGCAGTGGGAAGGGGGGGGGGTTGTGGAGTTTTTGGGTTGGGGAAGTCTGGAGTGTGAGTTGCTGCAGTGGGAAGGGGGGGGGGGTTGTGGAGTTTTTGGGTTGGGGAAGTCTGGAGTGTGAGTTGCTGCAGTGGGAAGGGGGGGGGGTTGTGGAAGTCTGGAGTGTGAGTTGCTGCAGTGGGAAGGGGGGGGGTTGTGGAGTTTCAGCTGGTGGAGGGGGTCTGGAGTGTGAGTTGCTGCAGTGGGAAGGGGGGGGGTTGTGGAGTTTTTGGGTTGGGGAAGTCTGGAGTGTGAGTTGCTGCAGTGGGAAGGGGGGGGGGGTTGTGGAGTTTTTGGGTTGGGGAAGTCTGGAGTGTGAGTTGCTGCAGTGGGAAGTTGATCGGTCTGTAATTGGTCTGCTGGGGTGGGCGGAAGTTGTTCGGTTTGTTGGGTTGTCGCATTGTTGGGTTGTTGGGGTATCGGGCTGTTGAACTGTTGGGCTGTTGGCTGCTGGTTTGTGGTTGGACTCATATGTACAAGGCTGCACATGATTTGTACATATGAGAGTTGTCCGAAAAGTCCTTGTTTCAGTTCTTGGTGTTGCCCTCCACGAAAGCTTCACAATGGGAGGTCGCGATGTTGTCTTTTGCTTCCTCGCGAAAGTTTTGTGTAAGAGTGGTTTGCAAGAGGAAGACGGAATGATGAACTGTGTTTGTCGGCAGTGTGCGCAGAATGCACACAGTCTAAAGTTGGTCGGAGGAAAGCGCGGCCTGAGGATTGTCCCAAAATCGCGGCAAAGGCAGCCCCAACAGACAGCAGCTTGTTGCTGTGTTGAAGCTTTCGGGTCCAGTTGAGAGCAACTTCCCAGCCAGAGTGCTACTTCTGTGATAAATGTTGTGAAAATAGCCCTACAAAAGCTCAGCGATGAAGGTCGCGAAAGCTGTTTGAGTTCCGCTAAGATGGCGTTTATTTCCGGAACGGAATTTCCGACAACCGCCAAACGTTACGCACGATATGTATATTATGGTACTTCCAGGAGAACCCCAGCGGTGGCCTTGACACCAAAAGCATGCAACAATGCAGCGTGCGGAGCAGGGTTCGGAGCCCCGCAGCACTTGACACTTGCATGCGCCTTCATTGTCAGTGTTTCTGGTCAAAAAACAAATAACAAAGAAACATTTGTTTGTGTTTTTGGGGGCATGTACTTTTATCATAGCGTATGTCATTTCATGCCGATGTCCAATGCGACATTCGGCTCAAGCTTTTCAACCCGTCGACTCGCACCCGCAATTTCGGCGCCAAAACATCGCGGCACGTGGTGCACTTCATCAGCACGTTGTGCTGTTGCCGTGCGCCTGTGGTGGTGTCCTTGGCGGAGGTTGGTCGGGGGTATTGGTTGGGGTTGGTGCGCACTGGTTTGCTTTGCTTGCTTCGCTGCATTGTTTGCCTGCTTGGTTTGCTGCTTTGTGCTTGCTATCGGTTGTCTCTGCCCTTGCTGGGCTTCTTTACCTTGTTACAACTGGCACCCTGTTTTGGTTCGTGTTTGGCCAGCCGAGGGCAACCGCTTTGCCCTTGGGACTGGGGGGATAAGGTGGTCTCTTCTTGTTGGTGGGTTAGGGCCTGTTTTATCCATCCCGAAACTCTGTTTCAAACCCTTTCGCAGGTTATCAGCCGTAGGATTCGTCCTCGGTTGGCACCGCGAACCCCTTTTAATAATAACCCTGCAGGTACCGTAGGTCTCTGTAGGCGTCATGGCGGGAATCACTGAGGACGGACCTCATGTGGTGACCGACGAATGGGTTCTCGGCCAGGCCGGAATCTTGGACGTTGTGAATGACGACCAAGTGCCCGGACAGCCGATGTTTTCCGGTCCTGACTTTTTGTCGGACCACACTTTTTCAGAAGCAATGCCTTCAGGAAGGTCCAGTGCTACTCGCACTGATGACCTATCGTCTAATGCCTCAAGAGCTAATCGCTCTCAGGGTCATGGGGCTAATCGTCCTGACCATGATGATTCCGTCTCAGGACGTGATGATGACGAGCCCGGTATTGCACCTGGAGCTCAATCCTCATCTTTCCCGGAGCTGATGAATATTGGTCAGTCCGAGTTTCGTGACTCTCGAAGTAGCAGTAGACCTGTGCCAACCAGCAGTATAGTTTTTCAAGCGCTCGGTAATCCCGGACCTGGTACATCCAGTGGAGTTGCATTTGACGTTCATCTGCCGACCGAATCCGGTGGGCTCGATTGGAGAGCCTCATGGCCCAACGACGGAAACGTTTTTGGTATGGATTTTGCCGCATGGATGCCAGGGCTGCCCGCCCCGTCATCTTTCCCGCAATTCCAAAGCCCAAAACGGGCTGCTGGAAGCGATGAATTCATGCTACCTTTGTCGATTGAGAATCTCAATCCTGACGTGACCAGCCGTAACGTCAGGCCAAGACCGTCGGTAAACCCGACCATGAGGAACATGTCCCCTCCCCCAGGACTTTCAGGATTTGAGAGCCCTAGGGAGCGTAATATCGTAGATAGATTGGATTTGCATCCCAGTCCAACCCCAAGCAAACGATCAAGGTCAAATTCGACTGGATCGCATAGGGCAAGGGGGATGGATCGAGAAACTGCCCACAGGGGTAACCCCAATACGCGGGACTCAGGACGCGGTCGATCAGGTGATCCAGCATCGATCATTGGTAGAGACCCGTTAAACGCGGATACACTTGTTAACGTGCTTGATGAGATCGAAGCATTCCAGGAGGAATTTAATAGGTCGAGTGGCTTGAACGCGCAAGGTGCTCGCCCTACGCCCAACGCGGCTTCCATTTTCGCTCTGGACAACATGGACGGGGCTAATGTTCCGATAGAATCTGAGTCCATGATGGCATCAAGTTCTAGTCGCAATCATACCATCAGTAATGCGACTGATATTGAATCGATGTCTGAGTCTAGAGTGTCCAATGCGACCGACTTGAATGACATTGTTATTGCTGACTCGAGACCTGATGTTCCTATGCGAACGGATAGGCCTGTTATTCCTAAACTATCCGTTGCCAAAGGCCTGGGCATGACACAACCCTCTGCGGTTCGTGATGCTAGGAGATCTGCTCCGTATCAGAGTCAATCTCCTAATCGGAGTGAGTTCCCACGGCCATCAACGGCCGTCCAGGATGTTTTCAGAACTCCTCCGAGATCTAATCCAATCATGGTTGATTTGTCCACTCCTCGAGATCGCGGATCAGGATTTGGTCCTGCGAGTGAGGAGCAACCCAACGAGGTTGCTGATCTTGTAACAGCCCTTGAAAGAGGGAGAGTGGATTCTTCGGTAAGTGCGATTATTCATCGCCTGGTTGCTAAGGTCGAAGACCTTGGGCGTAGGAATGATAGAAGTGATCAATGCATCAAGCAGCTCTCCTCTGAGGTCAACTCGTGGAGGGCCAAGTACGATCAATGCGTCCATGTGAGTAGCACGTGTACACAGGCTGCGAACGCGGCCATGCAGCTGTCACAAGGGACTAAGGACATCGTGACCGAGCTTGGCCAACGCGTAAAGATCGTTGCCGATCGCATGATAAGCATAGGCGATGCCCTAAACGAGCGAGCCAGCTACGATGATGTTGCTCGCTCCGTCACCCAGGTTCAAACTGTTTTTGAATCTCTTTCTGATCGAGTAACCGGGCTTATAGCTCGTGCTGATATGATCGAGAGATCTCTAGTGGAGAGCCAATCCAACCATCCTGCGATTGGTGGAGTAAACCTCAAAATCGAGGACCTGTCCACTAGGGTATGTCAGATTGATAGGATGATGCAAGATGTCGAACAACGCTGGACCAATGATAGGGACGGCATAAGGTGGGTTAAAGACCAACTTTATGAGACACAAGCCAACCTTGAGATAAAGTCAAGGGACTGCAAATCCTACACGGACAAGCAAAATACTCATAACATGGCCGTTTCGACTACGCTCAACAGTAAGCTCGAGCAAATGCTCGAGGTGCTGGGTAATACGGCCCAGAAAATTAACTCCCTCGAATCAATGCACTCGAACCAGGCCTCAAGTAGTGGATTGAACGATCACACAGGAGGAAGGCGTGCCGCGTCCCGTACTCCGGATAAGCGGCCACCTCCTCCTGGCCCTCCTGATGATGATCCTCCACCGCCTCCTCCTCCAGATTGGCAAAGCCCAGGAGGAGGGGGGAAGAAGAGTGCCGCCGGTGGGAACCCTGGCAACCCTGGTAAACCCAGATGTAAATATGTAGGTGATGGATATAATCATCTCGTGGCTGAGTTTCACTGCAAGGGATGTAGAGGTGATATTTGTGAGTATTGCTTCTCGTTTAAAGAGAACCTGTGTGAAGAATGTTCCCGTAACGGACCCCGATGCGGAGTCTGTAGGGAGAGCTCGTTCCTGACCAAGGGGATTGAATGTCAGTTTTGTAAGACCTACTACTGCACCAGACATTCTGCTGGGCAGGGCGACTACAGGAGATTTGGATTTGTCCAGGGTCCCTGTTGTCTTGCGTGCCTTAGGGACGAAACTAGGAGAAGAAGGGATCCTGGTGACCGTGTTAGGAATAGATCGCCTGGAGGCGTACCTGAGACGAACCCGACGCGGTCGTTCTCGCCGCCTCTGCGGCCACCCGTTGACAGATTCCATGACACTCCAACCGGGGTTCAACCTAACGCGGCTGACCTTCAGAGTCCTCCGAAGGCAACGCAATCCGTGCCCCTGGATAAACGTG